CAGCACGGCGAAATCTCATCTCTACCAAAAATACAAAAAAAATTAGACACTGGAGACTCCAAAAGAAAGCAAGGGCAGAGGGCGGGCAAAGGATGAAAAACTATCCTTTTGCGTACTATGTTCAATAAATGTGATTCGTCACATAAATAGAATTAAAAACAAAAACCATATGATAATCTCAATAGATGCAGAAAAACATTCAATAAAATCTAATATTCCTTCATGTTAAAAGCCCTCAACAAACTAGGCATCGAAGGAACCGACCTCAAAATAGTAAGAGCCATCTATGATAAACCCACAGCCAATATCATACTGAATAAGCAATATCTATCTTTGCTGATGATATGATTCTTTATCTAGAAAACCTGAAAATCCTACCAAAATGTTCCTAGACCTGATAAACAAGCTTTGGTAAAGTTTCAGAATGCAAAATCAAGGTACAAAAATCAGTAGCATTTCTATACACCAATAATGTTCAAGCTGAGTACTGAATCAAGAACACAATCCCATTTACAATAGCCACACATTAAAAAAAAAAAAATCTAAGAATACATCTAACCACAGAGGTGAAAGATCTCTACAAAAAGAATTACAAAGATGTAATACATAGGGTGATAGGATACATAGAAGCCCAAGCTTCAGCATCACACAATATATCCATGTAACAAACCAGCACATGTACCCCTGAATCTAAAAAATAAAAACAGTACAAAGACTTCAAACAAAGAACCTAACGATGCACTTCAAGTACCAAAGCAACAACAAACAAAACCCAATTAGTAGAAGGAAAAAAAAACAAAGATCAGATCAGAAATAAACAAAAGAGACTAAAAAACAATACAAAGAATCAATGAAACAAAAAGTTGGTTTTTTAAAAAGATAAAATCGATAAACTATTAGCTAGACTAACCAAGAAAAAAGAGAAGACCCAAATAAATAAAATCAGAAAGAGAAAAGGCAACATGACAACTGATACCACAAAAATACAAAGGAACATTAGAGATTATTACAAACAACTATATGCTAACAAATTGGAACACCTAGAGGAAATAAACTCCTGGACACACATAACCTACAAAGACTGAACCAGGAAGACCAATAATGAGTGACATGACTGAACCAGGAATAAAAAGTCTCCCAAGAGAGAAAAGCCCAGGACCTGATGGCATTACTGCTGAATTCTACCAACTTCATAAAGAAGAACATCAATTCTTCTCAAAGTATTCCAAAAAAATTGAAGAAGAGAAAAATTTTCCTAACTTATTCTACAAGGCCACCTTTACTCTGATGACAAAAGCAGACAAGGACACAACAAAAGAAGACAACTACAGGCCAATATCCCTGATGTACACAGATGCAAAAATCCTCAACAAAATACTAGCCAACCAAATCCAACAACAAAACAAAAAGATAATACAGCATGATCAACTGGGATTTATCCCAGGTATGCAAGAATGATTCAACATACACAGATCAATAAAAGTGATACATCACATCAACAGAATGAAAGACAAAAACCATATCATCATCTCAACAAATACAGGAAAAGCACTCGATAAAATTCAACATCTCTCCCTGATAAAAACTCTCAATCAAGCATAGAAAGAACATACCTCAACATAATAAAGGCCATATATGACAAACCCCCAGCTATCATTATATTGGATGGGGAAAAGCTGAAAGCCCTTCCTCTAAGAACTTGAACACAACAAGGATGCCCACTTCCACCACTCCCATTCAACACATAACTGAAAGTCCTAGTCAGAGCAATCAGGCAAGAAAAACAAATACAGGCACCCAAATTGGAAAGGAGGAAGTCAAATTGTTACTCTTTGTGTACAACATAATCTGACATACAGAAAAACCTGAAGACTCCACCAAAAAAGTCTTAGAACTGATAAAGAAATTCAGTAAAGTTGCAGAATACAAAATCAACATACAAAAATCAGTATTGTTTCAATACACCAATAACGAACTAGCTGAAAGAGAAATCAAAACAGCAATCCCATTTACAAAAGCTACAAGAAAAAAAATAATACCTAGGACTAAATTTAACCAAGGACATAAAAGACCTCTACAAAGAAAACTATGAAACACTGATGAAAGAAATTGAAGAGGATACAAACAAATGAAAAGACATCCATGCCCATGGATCAGAAGAATTAATATATTCAAATACAGATTCAATGCAATCTCTATCAAATACCTATGACATGCTTCACAGTAATAGAAAAAATAATCCTAAAATTCACACTGAACCATAAAAGGCCCTGAATAGCCAAAGGAATCCTGATCAAAAGGAACAAAACTGGAGGTATCACACTACCTGCCTAACTTCAAAATATACTACCAAGCTATAATAACCAAAACAGCATGGTATTGGTATAAAGGCAGACACATACACCAATGGAACAAAATAAACAACCTAGAAATAAATCCACGTGCTTACAGCCAACTGATTTCCAACAAAGGTGCCAATAACATACAATGGGAAAAGGATGCCCTATTCAATAAATGGTGCTGGAAAAAATGGATATTCACATGCAGAAAAATGAAACTAGACTCCTATCTCTCACCATATTAAAAAAAAATCAACTCAAAATGGACTAAAGACTTACATGTAAGACCCAAAACTATAAAACTACTAGAAGAAAACAAACGGACTGGGTACGGTGGCTGATGCCTGTCATCCCAACTACTCAGTAGGCTGAGGCAGGAGGATCACTTGAGGCCAGGAGTTCAAGATCAGCTTGAGCAACACAGTGAGATATCATCTCTTAAAAAAAAAAAAAAAAAAAAAAAACTGTTCTTAAATTAGCCAGATGACATGTCTATGGTCCCAGATACTTGGGACACTGAAGCAGGAGGATCACCTGAACCTAGGAGTTTGAGGCTACAGTGAGCTACAACTGTGCTGCTGTACTCCAGCCTGGGCAACAGAATGAGACGCCCGTCTCTACAAAAAAAAAAAAAAAAAAAAAAAAAAAAAGAAAATATAGAGGAAATGCTTCAGGACATTGGTCAAGGCAAAGATTTTATGGCTTAGACTTCAAAAGCACAGGCAGCAAAAACAAAAACTGGCAATTGGGACTTAGTTAAACTAAGAAGTTTTTGCACAGCAAAGGAAACAATCAACAGAGCCAAAGACAACTTGTAGAATGGGAGAAAATATTTGCAAACTATTTATTCAGCAAGGGATTAAACATCCAGAATATACAAGAAAAACAACTCAACAGCAAAAAAACAAAAAACCCTATTAAAATGTGGGCAAAGGACTTGAATAGACATTTCTCAAAAGAAGACATACACATGGCCAAAAGGTATATGAAAAAATGCTTGACACCACTAAATCACCAGGGAAATGCAAGTGAAAACCACAATATCATCTCACCCCAGTTAGAATGATTTTCAAAAAGACAAAAAATAACAAATGCTGGGGAGGATGTGGACAAAAGGGAACTCTTACATGCTGTTGGTGAGAACGTAAAATTAGTACAGCCATTATGGAAAACTAAATGGAGTTTTCTAAAAAACTACAAATAGAACTACCATATTGTATATAGCATCCTTAACATAAGTAACTCCATTTTAGAAAGAGACTGCATCTCACATTTCAAAAGACATCATGCCCACAGGGACTTAATCAATAAAGACTGCACCCAATCACATAATGACATAAACAGGCAAAATATTTCACTGTCAGTTCTCACCAGAAGACTCTGTGGCCACAAAAAGAGCAAGACTTTGCCAGCTCAAAACAGCTGTCTTGATAAGACCCTGTCTTGCTGTCATCTGTGATCAGCACCTGGCATCTGTCGCCAAAGGCTCTTCCTTGCAAGATGTTGACAACCGTCCAGATCAGGCCAGAATACGCTCTTAGTTCAGTTGCTCTCTTTGGACTAGTTCTTTAGCACCCCCCCTTTTTTTTTCTGTCCTTTTCTCCTGTTAATTGTTACTCTGTTTGATGTGGAATGTTTACGCTGTAACATTTACACATATTAATTAAATACGCTATTATGTGTGGTTTGCAATATTGACTGACTTGTGGAGAGGCTTGAGCCTGTATGCCCATGGCTCTGACTATCAAGTGAACTGGTAGTACTAGGGGGAACTGCCTCCTTGGGAACTCCATGTAGATTGTGGTTTTTATGACTGAAATAGCATCACTAAAAGTTTGCTCTTGTAGAAAGACACAAACATGTATGGACCTGGTTATGTCTGACTTTGTACCACTCATAACACATATGATCCAGAAAGCACACTATTGGGTAATATATCCAAATGAAAGGAAATCAATATGTGAAAGGGATACTTGTACCCCCATGTTTACTGCAGCATTATTCACAATAACCAAGATATAGAAATGACTTAAGTGTCCAACAGCAGATTAATGAACAAAGAAAATGTCAGATATATATCCATCATGGAGTACTATTCAGTCACAAAACAGAATGAAGCCCTGTCATTTGCAGCAACATGGATAAAACTGGAGGTCATTAAGTGAAATAATAGGCACAGAAAGACAAATATCTCATGTTCTCAGTCATGTGTGGGGTCTAAAAAAGTTCACCTCACAGACGTAGAGAGTAGAACGATGGTTACCAGAGGCTGGGAAGGGGTTGGGGGTGAAGAATGTTTGGTTAATGGGTACAAACCATACAGTTAGGTAGAAGAGTAAGCTATAGCGTTAAATAGCACAGTAAGGTGACTAGTAAGTAACTAGTATGTGACTAGTTAAGTAACTAGGACAGTAGGGTGACTAGCACAGTAAGGTCCCTTAAACTTTAAAAATTTACTATATATTTCAAAGTAGCTAGAAGAATTGAAATGTTCCCAACACAAAAAATGATAAATGCTTGAGCTGATGGGTATATTAAATTCCCTTATTTGATCATTACGCATTATATGTATGTATGAAGGTATCACGTGGACTCTATAAATATGTATAATTATTATGTATTAACCAAACAATTAATTTTTATAAAAGCAAACTTACCCACCATGCCCTCGATTTTGCATTCTTTCTAACAAAGCCTCCATCACCAAATCCCCTTTGTTCTGGAAACTGACAAAGAAAAAATATCAGTCATGAGAAAATTCATTTCTTCAGTTCTAACATTCTAACTTACAACTTAAGAATGTGAATGAAAGCATACATAACAAGGAAAAAAATGCAGCACTTCTTAGGATGACTGTAGAAGCAGTCAAAGAACATCACTTCAGGAAAACTAGGAACAAACATATTTCAGATTAAAGCAGAATAACTTAAAAATATCTGAATTGCTGTTGATACTCTCTCCATGTAACTATCAAATACCTCATTGTTCTTTGTTTAGTTCCTAATGTCAGGTGGGCGGGGGTGGAGTTGGGATCTCTCTAGCAGAGGGATAGTACACAAACCCCCTTACAAAATGAGAAAGAAATTGGGTTCACACATGTCAGAGGGAAAGCATAGCTTTTTTTTAAATAAAGAGATAGTATAAAAAATGTGAAGTGCACTGAGATTAAACTCTTTAGTCTATCATGGGAAAGCCTACTCACCCCTGAAGACAGGCTCATAGAGCTTCCTGCATGCAACATCCTCTCTTCACCGAAAGGCAGCCACAGGGCCCTCCTGCCTCTGCACTTCATTTGCTCCCAGTGCTTAACAGGTTCTTTCATAGGAGTTACACCACACTGGAAGTGAGTTTTTTACACACTATTTTTCCTTACTAGACTATTCATCTCTCCAGGGCAGAAACCCAATTTTATTCATCTCTGCAGCTCCAGAGCTCAATGTAGCATTTCAACATGGTATGTGGCAGATTCTTTTGGCTGAACTTAACTCCCCTCTGTCTTTTACCTACCCTCTTCCCCATGCAACCTGGTCATAGCTAGGGGACTACAGGAAGAGTCTAGCAGAGAAAGAGGGAAAAGGAGATAGAAGACTGCCATATAAACGGCAAGATACAGTCAGGTGCGGTGGCTCATGCCTGCAATCCTAGAACTTGGGAGGCTGAGGTGGGCGGATCACTTGAGGTCAGCAGTTTGAGACCAGCCTGGCCAACATGGTAAAACCCCGACTCTACCAAAAAAAAAAAAAAAAAAAAAATTAGCCAGGCATGGTGGTGTGCACCTGTAGTTCCAGCTATCGGGAGGCTGAGGCAGGAGAATTGCTTGAAGCCAGGAGGCGGAGGTTGCAGTGATCCGAGATCATACCATTGCACTACAGCCTGGGCGACAGAGAGAGATTCCATCTCAAATAAATAAATAAATAAATAAATAAATAAATAAATAAAATAAAGGGTAAGATATACCATGAAGAAAGGTGACAGTGAGAAAGGAAAGAAGACCCTTAAACTCAGAAGTGTTAATATGTGCTGTATGCTTCTCATCTTTTATGATAAATCTTCAAAATGTTCAATGTCAAACCACTTTTCATTCCAAAACGCTTTTTCCTTAAACCTTTAGACAATAACCAAAGATTGTGGTGTGGACATTCTGCCCCTGGGCTAATCCTCATCTAAAAATTATACTGCTGTAAGAAGTAGATTATTTTACTCGACACATAATTCAGTGTTGTACTAACAACTAGATATATAGTGATGAATAATATGGCCCTTTTCAAGGTAGTAATAGTCTAGTATGGGACAGAAAAAAATGAGACAAAAAGGCTTTCCCAGTGTGATATAGTGAGAGGCATGCCCAGGGTGTTCCAGAGACACAGAGGAGAATGAGAAGACTGGAAAATAGAACCACTGCATCTTATTTGCATCTATTTCTAAAGATACTAACAAACTGAGTATTAAACTATTCGTGCACAAACATGACAGGGAGGATTTTTTTTTCTAGTTGGTTTATCCTACATATTAGACCAAAATTGCAAAAATAAAAACCTAAAGAAAAAGGTTCCCATGTTTTACTCCACTTTCAAATCACAATACAGTCAAATTACAATGCAACCAAGATTCCATGTTTTGGTCCACTCTAGGAGAACTGAGAGGCAGTACATGGTCCATACCGCACTAGATGGAGACCCAGGATACAGTCCTACTCTGCAACTAACTAGCTTTATATTCTTGGACTTGTTTTAACATCTGTAAAATGAGGGGCACGAACAATATTTTCTAAGGTTTCTTCCAGCTTTTTCATGGGTTCTAATAGCCAATTAAGTGTCCACTGTAAGTAGCAAGCTCCTGACCACCATACACGGACACTTATTAACATGTAGGAAAGTGCTATTCTTATTGACAGTGCTATCACAGTTATTCAAAATTATCGTTAGTAAAATTATACTTACTTAGGTCATGTTATTCTCAAACAGTATATTTAGTAATATATACGAATATATTTTCTATATGACTATTATTTAATAATATATTTATAATAGAAGTTACTGAATGTTCAATAGCTGTCTTGTACACATTGTCTAAATCAATCTTCACAAAAAAGACAGATACTAGCCAGGCGCAGTGGCTCAAGCCTGTAATCCCAGCACTTTGGGAGGCCAAGACAGGTGGATCATGAGGTCAGGAGATCGAGACCATCCTGGCTAACACAGTGAAACCCCGTCTCTACTAAAAAACACAAAAAACTAGCCGGGCGAGGTGGCGGGCGCCTGTAGTCTCAGCTACGCCGGAGGCTGAGGCAGGAGAATGGCGTAAAAACCCGAGAGGCGGAGCTTGCAATGAGCTGAGATCCAGCCACTGCACTCCAGCCTGGGCGACAGAGCAAGACTCCGTCTCAAAAAAAAAAAAAAAAAAAAAGACAGATACTATTACTTTGAGAAAACTGAGGCTTAGAGAGTTAAATAACTTGACTATGATAAACTACAAATTATAGTCCTGGATTCAATCTAGACAGTGTGACTATCAAGTCACAATCAACGTGCAACCTTTATGTATTTTACAGTATTCTATATCTTAAAATATATCAGCGTATCTTTTGGCTTAATAGTGTCTTTGCAATAAAAAAAGAAATTAAACTGAAGTATGACATCACTACTATAGCCACCAGGTGGCAGCAGCACAATAATGAAATAGTCACATAATAAATATTGCTATTTTAGAAATCAAAATGGTCTAAGAGAGATTCCTGTTTAAAAAAAAAAAAAAAAAGGAGAGAAGTGGACCAGTAATATCCTCTGTGAGAAATAAAGTAAACTTACTAATGTGCAATGTGTTTCTGTAATTCCTTCACCATCTGCCTTAGTGCCAAACACCACCAATCCTCAGGATCAGGCAAATAGTAAGGGCTGATTTTATCTGGATGTTTGTCATCTGAGTTGCTCATAGTTATATCACGGATTCTTTTCCTAACCAATCTGACCCTCATTCAACTCTATGCACTATGTCACTTTGATTTCTTCTTTGCATGTGCCACATAATTAAATAAAATTAGATATTCTTTGTAAAATTTTAAATACAAATTAAAACAATGTTTGATAATCTGCTACTCCTTGCCACTAACATGCAAAGCTAATGTGATTAAATGGAAAATGTATACCTCTACCATCGGTACAATCTTATTCATTTCTGCAGTTAGAACAAAACATCAACAAACAAAACTTATTAATTATAACTCTCCTTTGGAATGAAGGCTGTTTTAAATCAATGAAACCTGGAATTGGATGGTGAAAGGAAATATAAGCTTTTACATCAAGTTTGGGGAGCAAAGAAAACACACTTTAAATTTAAGGGAAAAAGAATACAAATAGAATGTCTTATAGGCAAATCTCTGAAATTCATTAACATCGACTTTATGAGCTAGAAAGCACTTCAGGCCTCTAATTTAACCTTATTTTACAGATCAGGAAAAATATTAGAGTATATGCCCAAGACCAAATTATTCACAAAATGGGACACAGGAAGAAAATAAAAACTCCAGACAGAATTACGAATAAATGCGTACATACTAAGAGAAGGGATAAGCCTAACCTCCAAGTCTAAAGGAGGATAACAATGCTCTCTGTCCCTTTACCTGCCTTGGTGTCGTTTTAATTACAAAGCTCTATGGTTGTGTCAAATATACCATGGCCGATAAACTATGGCTGTTCCCAATGAACAATTAGTATTACTAAGCATTTTCCAGAAAGGGTGCTAATTAAACTGATACCAGTAAAAAGATACTAGAGGAACTTTTCAAAATATTAACGTTTTTTAAAAACTGTCCAAACTATAGTTCAAAATCCAGGGAGAACAATGAAAGTCTGAGAAATAGGAGTACATAAAAACAAACTTTTATATGAAAAAACGCCATAAGCAAAGCTGACAAATGACAACAGTACCTGAAAGTTTTACCACAAAGGGTTAATTACCCAAATATATAAGGAGCTTATAAAAGACTAGGGAAAAAAATCTACAGAAACATGGGCAAGAGGTATAAAGAAGCAATGCACAGAAAAATACAAATGACAGTAAAAACATGAAAAGGTAATCAACCTTGCTCATAAGAGAAATACAAATTAAAACTACACTAAGTTACCCTTTCTTCTGTACCAGATTAACCAAAAATTCAATGTTTGATAATATACTCTGATGACAAGACTTTGGGACAACAGGCACTCATATACATTACAGGTAAGAATGCAAAATGAATACAACTGCTATAGAGGAGACTTTGGTAACACCTAACAACTGATGTAGGCATTTACCCTTTTATCCAACAATGCTACCTTTAAGAATCTATCCCATGGGTTCACTGGCAAAAATGCAAAACAACATATCCACAGGGATATTCACTGCAGGGCTATTTGTAATAGCAGAAAATAACACAAGTGTCTATCAAGAGGGGACAAGTTAAATATTCATCCACCAATGGAGTACTATGAAACTGTAAAAAGGAATAACAATCTCTACATACTCCTACAGAGGGGATCTACAGGACATATATTACTAGGTGAAAAACCCAAGATGGAAAACAGTATACATAATAGCACATTTTACCTAAGAAAGAAAGGTGTGTTTGTTCATGTATATTTGCTTTTAGGTATGTGTTTTTTTAATGGAAGGATAGACCCAAAACTAGTAAAAACAGTATCTGTAAGGAAGGAAAATAAGCAGAGTGGAAGAAACAGAGATGAAAGCTAAATTGTTTTATGAGTTCTTGTTTTATGGGTACTTGTTTTATGGGAATTATGCTAGGTTTTGTATATAATAAAACAAATCAAAATGGGGAAAAAAGCAGTACTGAAAAATTGGAAACAAAATAAAATAAATCAACTACCAACTAGATATCAATTTGACAGGCTAACTATACAATAAATTACTTCATATGCCTTTAAAATACAATAATTTTACTATACACTTCCCTAGAGACATATAAAATAAAGATAAAACTGCAAAGAAATCCTAAGCACTGTTCAGGAATCATATTGATAACAAAATAGGCTGTTAACTTGAAACCATTATATATAACATAGGATGAGGAAAAAAACTAATTCTATTAATGGCACTAGGTACCAAGATTCAGCAAAAGAGATACAAACATAAATCAAACGTGAAAAAACTGAAAAATTAAATTTAAAGTTTGGAAATTTAAATGTTAAATGTTGGAAACAATGTGAACTCTGCATATTTGTGGTTTTTTAAATGTATATTTCCTAACTCTGGCCAATATAAATCCTAGAACCAATGATTAACATAGTAGCAAGAACACTTCTCCTACCTAGACAGACTGTGGTCTCCAAATACTATCTCAGACTCAAAAGAACCAGGGTTCTTTGGAGACCAGAAATCTATAAATGAGCCAGGAAAATTATTTATCAGAAAGCAAGGAAATTAACAAAGCTATTGGTCATATCAAATGGAATAGGAGCCAACTTTAAGGAGCTCCCACTGGCCAAAGATGAAACCATTTGAGCATTAAAAACACAATTGCCATATGTTGAAACAGTTTAAATATATTATAAAGTCTGTAAGTTCATGATGATAGGTTTACAAAAAGGCAAAAACCCTCATGGTTACCTTTGGAGGTTGCTAGGCCACCAACTCATTACTGTGGTCTGAAAATAGAGGGAAAGAATTAAGCATTTTTCTTGCCTTTCCTGTGCAAATTGTATTTCAGGGTAGTCAAACAGCTGGTAAGGGAAAGTTCTTCATAAAAGACTCTCAGCTAACAAATATTGAAGAAACAACAGAATTAGATAATCACCACGTTGCATCTCTAATGCAGTAACGGATACAGGCAATATAACCCCACAAAAGAACTTCACCATTAAGTGAAAGAATCTTGGGGAATTTCATTATGGGTGGATGGAGCTAACTACACCTAAACTCAAAATAATGTTTAATGTTAACATCATAAAAAAAAAAAAAAAAAAAAAAAAAAACTCAGACACTGCTTCCCTGATAATGAAATAGGAAGTATATTGCATTACCTATGAAATTTTCTGCCCAACCCTCCAACTACCCCACCAAAAAACAAAACAAAAACAAATATAAAGGTGAAATCTGATCAGGCTTCTAAAGCAGTGTGCTCGAGAGAACTTTCTGCAGTTATGAAAATATTTTATAACTGCACTGTTCAAAAAGTAGCCACTAGGCAATCTGTAGTTACTGAGCACTTTAAACGTGGCTAATGCAAGTTAGGAACTGATTTTTTTTTTTTTTTTTTTTTGAGACAAGAGCCTCGCTCCATTGCCCGGGTTGGAATGCAGTGGTGTGATCTCAGCTCACTGCAACCTCCGCCTCCTGGGTTCAAGCCATTCTTCTGCCTCAGTTTCCTGAGTAGCTGAGATTACAGGCGCTTGCCACCACGCCTGGCTAATTTTTGTATTTTTAGTAGAGACGGGGTTTCGTCATGTTGGTCAGGCTTGTCTCGAAACTCCTGACCTCGTGATCTGCCCGCCTCGGTTTCCCAAAGTGCTGGGATTACAGGCATGAGCCACCGCGCCCAGCCAAGGAACTGAATTTTTAATTTTATTTCACTTTTATTACCCACAGCTGGCTGGTGGCTACAATACTGGACAGTGCAATTCTACATCTAACTACTGGTTTAGAGCAGTGGTCCCCTGCCTTTTTGGCACCAGGGACCTGTTTCACGGAAGACAATTTTTCAACACGGACAGGGTGGAAATAAAAAATTTTGTAAATATCTTTTTGTTAACATTCATATGAAATGTTTTGGGGGAGGAATGGCCAAACCACTTTTTAAATATTTATTTATTTTCTTTTTTTTGAGATCCAGTCTCACACTGTAGCCTGGTCTGGAGAGCAATGGTGTGATCTCAGCTCACTGCAACCTCCACCTCCCGGATGCACGTGATTCTCCTGCCTCAGCCTCCCCAGTAGCTGGGATTACAGGCGCACACCACCACACCTGGCTAATTTTTTTGCATTTTTAGTAGAGACGGTGTTTCACTATGTTGGCCAGACTGGTCTGGAACTCCTTACCTCGTGATCTGCCCGCCTCGGCCTCCCAAAGTGCTGGGATTACAGGCGTGAGCCACCGCACCCGGCCAACCACTTCTTCAGTAATATGAATAATACGCATGGCGAGGGTTAGGGGCATGGTTTCATGATGAAACTGTTCCACCTCAGATCATGAGTCATTAGTCAGATTCTCATAAGCATGCAACCTAGATCCCTTGCATGCGCAGTTCACATTAGGGTTCATGCTCCTAGGAGAATCTAACCTCACAGCTGATCTGACAGGAGGCAGAGCTCAGGTGGTAGGTAACGCTCACTCGCCTGTCACTCACGTCCTGCTCTGTAACCTGGTTCCTAACAGGCCACGGACTGGTAGTGCTCTGCAGCCCCGGGTTTGGGGGCCCCTGGTTTAGAGGACATAAAGGCAACAGAGATACCTGTTAAAGGATACTGTGCAATGTAATCTGCTAAATTTAGAACTGTAAGGAAAAATAGGGGCTAATCCCATAGCTATAGCTATGAGGGAACTGCTATAGATTAAAAGATGTCAAATGTGCATCACCCAAACACAACAGGCAGATCCCTGTGGGATTTTGGTTCAAACAAGCTAACTGCAAAAAAGACATTTAAGAGAGAGGTGAAGAAATCGTAATCTGACTGGACATTGACATTAGAGAATTTTTATTAATTTGTGTATGTGTAATGACAGTAGTGTGGCTTTGCAAAACTGAAAAACCTAGCTCCTGACGGGGGCGGGCAGGGGACTAAAATAACATAAAGATCGGAAATTCAGTTCCTGAAACCTTATGTCAATGTTGGCTTTAGCTGAATTCCAAGTCAAGCTGACATTTTTTGAAAGCAGGAAGCAGTGACAGAGTGGACTACTGATGCTGTCACCATCTGCCAGCACAACGTAAATTAGAACAGAAAGGACTAAGCAAAGGCATTCCACCTTTTAATGAGAGAAAATGGCATCAGTACAATCAACATATACAATTTTTACAAACAACTTTTAGAGTTGCATCTACATATATTTTAAAAGGCAGTGTGCCTGTTTATAAATCTCTACCCCATTTTAGTTTCAGAGCCTTTTTTACTACCCTGATCACTGATCATGCCAGTCAAAAGGCAAACTCAAAAATTAATCTAAAAATGGTACTGCATTCCAAATATATATATATACTTTGTTTTACTATTAAGCTACAGCTAACAGAAATCTAATCAACGATCCTTATGATTTTCTCTTATCTAAAAAATAAACGCAAGCACGTGAGGAACTGTGTAAATAAAGAGCATCTACCCTACAATACTGCTTTATAGAAGAATAAATTCTTTTAATAAGTTTAACCGGACATAAAGCTCAGGGAAAACTACTTTGTGCATAATAGTGTACGGTGCTTAAACTATAAAAGATGACTAGTCTCTGACATCATACACATCTTTACTCTCCTGATGTCGTAAACGACATTAAAAAAACCACATTATAAGCCTAAATGTACTGTCTTCAAGTATCTCCATGATTAAAGTGTTCCTAAGAAACCGTCCTTATTTCTTTCTATCCCTGATCTGTGTGCATGGAGCAGTTAGCTCAGGGTTCTCCAATTTCAGTCCACGATTTCTGCCATATTTCCGTACCTGCTGTACTAAACATAACCGTTTACACTAACTCACTATTTTAAAAGCTGCCAACCTTAACATGCCACCCTAAATGAGCGGGTCCCGTTGTGCCGTGAATGAAGTAGTCCTAACAGCGCTAGCTAGACAGCAGCCCTGGCAGGGAGGCCGCACTGGGGTCCCTCCGCTGAAAAGAAAGGTGGGTCCGCCGGGAAAGGTGAGTACTGGGCGCAGCTCGCCCGCCCACCTGGCCACTCTCCGAAGCGCCCCCAGCCACCCGGCCTCCGAGGAAACGCTGACCACCTGGCGGGGCCGAACCGCGTGCCGGGGTGCGCCATGCCGGACTACGCCGGTGTGCAGGGCATAGCGGGCCAGGCCGAGGGACTGGGCTCCGGGGCGGACCCGAGCCGGCGGGGACGCGCCTGGTGGTTCGCAGACTGTTGCGCGAACCGGCCGCAAGCCATGAGGCCGCGAAGCCAGAGTCACCAAGGCAGCCTGGGCCGCCTCCAGCCTGGGCCGCCTCCAGACCAGGACGCGCTCGCCCCTTGCCCTTCCGACTTGCGCACGGGCGGTTACACGGTTGCCGCAAGCGCACCCCTCAGCCTTCCCGCCGTTACCTCGGGCGGGCACTGCGCACGCGCGCCACCACTAAGCTTACGTCCAGCCTCAGCAGTCGGCGCGCTCGTTCCGCCCACTGCCCCCACACTTTTAATAATTGAATCAATGTCTTCTCCAGACTTCCCCTGCACGCGAGCAAATAGACTCACCCACATCCGGGAATCCGAGAAAGAGCGTGCAGACACGTGATGCGGGGCGTGGCAGGAGGAAGCATCTGCCGCGGTGGGCCTCGTACCGGTAAGGGTTTGCAGCGCCCCCGGCTTAGGTTTTGGAGGCGCGGGAATGCGTTCGTGGCTCAGTGTCGGACTTCCCCCTATTTCCATCGGCCGAGGCTGTCACTTTACGCTCATAACGGTTTTCTTTACTGCACGCTGTGTCGGGAGGAAAGGGACTTGCGTGGCACCCCAGACCTCCCCGTCTCCGCTTCCACGTTTGGTACATCCTGCCTCAGGCCGGAAGCCGCGGCTGAGGGGCGGCCTCTCGTACGGTGTGGTGGCCTGCGAGGCTCATTTCTAGCAAGGAACAAGGTTTTCCCGCTTTGACCTTACAAATACATGTTTACAAAGCTATAATGTATAGAAATGGATAAGACATGTCCCTGTCCCGGGAAACGCAGGCACTGCGTGTCTGGAAAGACATACATCTGGGCTGTTTGACAGGCTCCCTAGTTGGTGCCATGCTCTGTGCTTAGGGAACTATGAGATCCCCGGTGGGTACTGGGACCGCGCTCAGCCTGAGGTTTGGAGGCGGCCTCCTACAGGAAGCGACTTGAGACCTAAGATTTTTAGACTGACTATGGGTTCGCTGGAATAAAAAGGAAGAAACAAACAGCATTGCAGCCATCGGGACTGTCACATGTGTAAGAAAAGTTTGTTCAGGAAACAGTGGTCGTATTGTGTTACGAGTACTTGGGACGGTGGCTGTGCCCTGGGCATTGATTATCTTGTTGCTTTCCATCCTTCCAGCCCCTTAAGAGTGAACGCACCTTCACGCCTAACCCCGGAAATGGGATGTTGACCTCCAAGAGCTGACACCTGCGTTGATCTTGAAAGGAAGAGTGGCATTAGTGATGTGGAAAAGGGGGTTTTAACTGTCAAGGCTGGAAAATGTGACAGGGTTGGAGGTGTTTGGAGAAGGGACAGGTGAAAAAGATTGAGGCCAAATTGTAGAAAGATCTACTAAGGAATCCTGGGTACAAAATGTACACATAACAGTTGGGGACCATAATACCTGAGCAATTGATCACAAAGCTTGTTTAGTAGATTTAAGTTAGGACAAGAAGCAAGAGTTCAAGGATAGAAGGCCTACTGAAGCTCGAGTGATTTGAGAAAACCTTACTAAAAGGTGGAAAAGCTATATGGGCCTGGGAAAGTCAGGTTTGGATCAGCTGAGGAAAGTGAAAAGGGCATCCCAGGAGACACAGCAGCAAGGACAAAGGAGTAGCAGCAGAAAAGTGGGGAGCTCTTATAAGACAGGGACTTCAAAAGTATAACCAAAACTTCGTCTTGCTTTGAGTTATCCACTGGGTAGTAGGGGGTTAATTATTGAGTACTGGATTAGTTAAGCCCTCACCTGGCTCACCAGTGACAGAAGTAGCAGGGCGCGTTTTGCTTAAGTTTTGCCCAGATCTTTTAAACCCTTTCCTACACACCAATCTCTATAATTTTTGCCAAGGTGTTGGGGATATCTTGCAGTTATCCTATGGGGGACATCTGTGAGCCTTTTTTTTTTTTTTTTTTTTTTTTGAGACCAAGTCTTGCTTGCTCTGTCGCCTCGACTGGAGTGCAGTGGCGCTATCTCGGCTTACTGCAAGCTCTGCCTCCCAGGTTCACGCCATTCTCCTGCCTCAGCCTCCCGAATAGCTGGGACTACAGGTGCCTGCCACCACGCCCGGCTAATTTTTTGTGTTTTTAGTAGAGACGGGGTTTCACCGTGTTAGCCAGGATAGCCTCAATCTCCTGACCTCGTGATCCGCCCACCTCGGCCTCCCAAAGTGCTGGGATTACAGGCGTGAGCCACCGCGCCCGGCCATGTGAGCCATTTTTACAAAAAGTTCCACCTGCCTTGGCCCAAACCTCAGCATAGGCACAGGAGCTCATGAACATGCTGAGATAACACTAAACTGGACTATGGGAAGGGACCAACTACAGACCTGACACAAATCCTCAAGGCAAGACGATGTCTGAAGTTGAGCTTGTAGAGGAAAAGGCTTCCTTCCTTAAAATAGCACCCAGGTTGAGCTCTGAAAAAAGCACCTCGAGATGGTGGGTTCTACCCCGCCCCCGCCAAAACTGCTTATTGTGTGAGTCTCCATAGTCTCAGAAACTGAGAATAACTGAGAGTACCTTTGATGCCAGTGGCTTCTGGGCTATTTAGATTGTCACTTTGTAGCAGGGAGCACCCATAGGATGACGCCTATGATGAGTCAGGGCCCAACCTTGGAAACGGAATCCAAAAGTATCCTCCAAGCTAGCCAGCCTTTTGGATTAGAAAGCATGCCACAGATAGGATGAAATTAAGCAAAGTTGTCTGCTTCTGAATTAAATAATTCATTAACTAAGGACCTATTTATTCTTTGTCATCTATAAGTAATTATTAAGACTGAACTTTCTAAGTTTAAGATAATATATTATTGCTTTACAGTAAATGATAGCTCTTTTCAATCTGTTCAAGTATGTTTGAATCTGTCTTGTAGAACAAGATGTATGTGATTCAAATATAGATAAGTAAATATCATTTAATATATATTGAGCATAATTTTAGAGGGGAAAACATATTCACATACTACGAATTAGAATCCAGTGGAAAATTTTAAGTCTGGATATTGCATAACAGTTTGCTAAGCATAAAACAAAACATAAATTAAGATAATTGAAAAGAAATATGTTGGTATCTGTGAACTCTGGTACAAAGCAGAGTTTCAGTAGTAATACATTTAAATTTAAAATACAAGTAAATGATCCCAGATCCTACACTAAGTGTGGCCCATGACTTACCATTTTAAGAAAATTGCTGGTAGGGTGTGAATTGGTCATTTGTTGGGGTTTTTATAGCAGCTTCAGAGAAAAATGGGGAATCAGCCATGGTCAAGGAGCTAAATAAGTATCCTGGCCATTTGGGCCAGAAATTAAAGGGAGTGCAGCATTAAGAATTAGAGGAAGGAACCTCCAAGGAAGGAGCTATCCCAAAGGGAAGCAGAAACTGGAGAAACCAGCAGTATGAGGTTCTACCACTGGTGTTCACCTAGAAGTGCTTTGTTCAGATCGCAGCCTGGGTACTATGTTAGGGAAGGAAGCCGTTTCCTTGACAGTATGTTCATGTGACTCCTGTGCCTAAGAATGCTGAGGTTTGAGCCAGGGGCTAGAAAGGGAACTTAGCAGGCCATTATGAATCAGGGACTCATCAAAGGCATCACAGACAGGAAAAGGTGAATGTTCAAGTTAGAAGAGAAGAGCTACATTGAGATGCAACATACTAATATTTGAGGGCCTCATTTAAGAACGTGTTTCTCTCCTGTCACACTCTGTGACACTGGTCTGTCAACTGGCTATGCCTATCCAGTATACACTATAAAATATGTATCAGCTGGGGTTGTAGAGAGGAAGTATGACCAAAGTAGTCACCCAGCCCATATGAGAAAATGAACCTTTTCCCAAAAGGTAGCCCCAGACTATAAAGCCTGGAGAATCCTTATAGTGGATTATACCATTGCTTCAGTCATTGTGTTTAAGAAATAACCTCTTTGGCTTACAGATTTGATAAGATCAAAGCTGCAGGAAAATGGACAGTGAGGTTCAGAGAGATGGAAGGATCTTGGATTTGATTGATGATGCTTGGCGAGAAGACAAGCTGCCTTATGAAGATGTCGCAATACCACTGGTAGGTTATGATTTGAGCTGAGGATGGGTTAAAGGTATTGATCTGGCAGTAACTAGTGGAGGAGGGATATCAATGGAAGATAAACTAGTGTGGCAAAGAAATCAAAGCTGTGGAATTCTCTAACTCTAGAAGCCTCTGGAGAGCATCTAGTTGTATGTTTTATTTGAAGAAAAATGTGGTTCAGGGAGCTAGCATGGCCAGGTCAGTTAGGAGTCATGCCAGGACTAGAGCCCAGATTTTCTGAGCCATTTTCTGTCCACCACATGAAAACCAGAAAAACCAAATAATGAGAGTTTAATGCACAAGATGGGGAGGAACGAGAAGCAGCAGCATATGAGCTCTGTTTCTTACTTCCCTGCCTCTGGCTCATCAGTCTTTTGGCATTTTTAGAAACTCACATTCTTGGAGCATACACCTATCTTGGGTTCCCTGGAAAATATTCAGAATATACCTGGGTATTCTTTTGCGTTTAGGCCAGCGGCCTTCTAGAATACTCTTTTCTTCCCTATCTGTGGAAAACTCTGCTGCAGGGAGTTTGTTAAACCTCATGTAATAAGTGATCCAAAAGGTTTGCTTATATAAATGTTTATTTACAATCCTATTTATGTCATAGAGACCTAAAAAAGGGAAAATGGGACTATTTTTCTTTAAAGCATGCCAGCTGCCCTGAGAAGAGTAGTTAGTATGAAATAAAATATAATTTATAGTTAGAATATCTGTTGCTGCTGTTTACAAAGAAATAAAATAGTTCATCTGTATTTTCATTTACGAATAAGAGATAGTAATATGTTCAGTGAATAATATACATATCAAATAACAAGTCATAGCTTAGTTCAAGCTTAGGAAAATAGTCAAAAGAGAGAGCATAATAAGAATTATAGATGTCATTTATTGAATACCAGTTTTATGCCATGGACTGAGGTTGAAAATATACATTATCTCTAATTCTTAAACAACCCTGTGAGGGAGGTGCTTTTAGTCCTGTTTTATAGGAAAAGAATAGGATCAGAAAGGGGAACTTGCCCAAAGTCTGGTAGCAGATAAGTAGGGCTTCATATAACATATACTTAGGTCTGTGAAGTTCCAAATCCTGTCTGGTGAACTTTTTTTCATTCATTCCACAAGCATTTTTTGAAGCCTACTGTGTGCCATAAGACTATGTGAACATAAGATACAGTTCCTGCTCCTTGAGGGGTCTAGAAAGGCAACACTTATAGATAAGTAATTGTGATAATATTCTAGGTGGGGACATAAACAGCCACATCATATAGGAAGTGACTGACTGCCTGGTGGGCATCAGAAAGGCTTCTGAGAGAATGTCATGTTTAAGCTGGGTCATAAGGAAGGACCAGAAGTTTAGTGGAGATAGACAAGGGTACTGCTGCAGAGGGGACAGATGTGTAAAGGCCCAGAGGTTTGAAAGGTTTTGGGACATGATGAGTCATTCAATGTGGATGAAGAATACGTTTGTCACGTAAGCAGGCTGAAAAGTTGGGCTTGGATCAGACTGAGAGAGGTATTTGATACCACACTTACACCTCATCCTCAGGAGATCCAGGAATGAATGATCTTAAAAGCAAGACTGCTATGCTCAGATTTGGCTTTTGGAAAATCGGTTTAGCAGCATTGTTAGAGATGGTGTGACATGGAAAAAGGGGCAAATGAGACAAATTAGCAAGCTATTGTGGTGGTCTAGGCAAGGGAGGAGGGCCTGAAAAAAGTCAAGAAAATAAAGGAGACGTCCACTTCTGGAGAATGTTATGGCTCAGATTGGAGAACATTTGTGTGGCAGAGGATGAAGGAGAGGGAAGTTTCCCTGCTGACTTCTAGGCGAAGTTGGCTTGGCCCTGCTGCTAATCCATACCCTTTGCTTGTCCTGTGATTCTAAGGCAGTGTGTATGCCAGTTAGGTTTTGCTGCATAACAAATCACCCCAAAGCTTAGTGACTTAAAAGAGCAACTGTTTATTTCATGATTTTGTAGCTCAGCTGGGAGGGACTTCTAGTCTGTGCTAGCTCAGCTGATCCCTGCCAGGCTTGCTTGTGTTGTGCAGTCAGCCAACAGACTGTCTGGAGGCTGGGTAATCTAGGACTGTCTCACATGTCTGGCAGTTAGCAAGCTGTCCACTGAGTGATGGGGTGACTATGCCATGGTCTCTGGTATCCAGCAGGCTAGCCCGGACTTCTCAGTCTCAGGGTTCCAAGAGCAACCTGAGAGGAAACCACAGAGCTTCGTGGAGCTTAGGCCAAGAACTAGCCCACTGGCATGACAGCTTCATTCTGTTGGCCAAAATAACTCCCAGGGCCAATCCAAATCCAAGATTGGGGAAATCAGTTTCACCTTTTGATAAGAGTAGCTGCAAAGAACTAAGGGCATTTTACAGTACACCATAATGGATGGCTGGGTTTATGACACTTTTGTTTTTGTTTTCCAGGCATATATGCGATTTGATGTGTTGGCATGTATTGAACGGGACGATAGATACCAAACGAAAGACACATTATTTTAGAAAGCATACCACAGATAGGATGAAATTAAGCAAAGTTGTCTGCTTCTGAATTAAATAATTCATTAACTAAGGATACTATTTATTCTTTGTCATCTATAAGTAATTATTAGGACTGATTGCTTTACAGTAAATGATAGCTCTTTTCAATCTGTTCAAGTATGTTTGAATCTGTCTTGTAGAACAAGATGTATGTGATTCAAATATAGATAAGTAAATATCATTTAATATATATTGAGCATAATTTTAGAGGGGAAAACATATTCACATACTACAAATTAGAATCCAGTGGAAAATTTTAAGTCTGGATATTGCATAACAGTTTGCTAAGCATAAAACAAAACATAAATTAAGATAATCGAAAAGAAGTATGTTGGTATCTGTGAACTCTGGTACAAAGCAGAGTTTCAGTAGTAATACATTTAAATTTAAAATACAAGTAAATGATCCCAGATCCTACACTAAGTGTGGCCCATGACTTACCATTTTATGAAAATTGCTGGTGGGGTGTGAATTGGTCGTTTGTTGGGGTTTTTGTTGCCCTGCTCCACCACTAGGGGGAGGTATCATCTACTAGTTACATTTTCAGTGTTTCCTGCCCTACCTCCATTTCTATTATAATATAGACATGTTGGGCCAGGCGCAGTGGCTTGCGCCTGTAATCCCAGCACTTTGGGAGGCCGAGGCGGGTGGATCACCTGAAGTCGAGAGTTCGAGAGCAGCCTGACCAACATGGAGAAACCCCATCTCTACTAAAAAAAAAAAAAAAGATACAAAATTAGCTGGGAGTGGTAGTGCATGCCTGTAATCCCAGCTACTTGGGAGGCTGAGGCAGGAGAATCACTTGAACCCGGGAGGCAGAAGTTGTGGTGAGCCAAGATCACGCCATTGCACTCCAGCCCGGGCAACAAAAGCGAAACTCCATCTCAAAAAATATATATATATATGTTGGGTCCAAGGTCATTTTTTGGATACATTTCTTGTGTCTAAGAAATATGCCAGCAAACTAGTATTCTTTTAAAGCACGCTCCCCCAAAAGAAGATTTAGGATTGGCTCATCTTGGTGTTCCTAACCGCTAATAATAATAGCAAATATTCCTTGAGCACCAGATACCCCACACAGTGCTCAGCACTTGATCTAACCTCACCTAATCCTTACAGTAGTCTTGTGAGGTGATGGCTCTTTTTTCCTCCCATTTGCCAAGGAGGAAATAAAGGCCCCAAGGGTTTGCATACCTTGCCCAAGTAACCCAGCAAATGGGAGAGTTGTGGTCTTGGATCCTAGTTGGCTTCCAAAAGCCTCTACCCTTAACCCTTCTGCCACAGTTCCTCCTTCACAAATGTCAGAGTCAAAATGCCCATCACTCCCTACTGAAGAAGGCCCAGGCCATGTTTGAGTGATACTTCTGATCGTTTCCTCCCGTGTATGATTTTAGCTTTTTTAGAATACACGTATCAGTTATGTTGCCTGCTCCTAGGAACTCACAAGCTTTAAGTGTTCTTGAGTTCCAAGAAGATGCAGAATATATTACTGTTCTGAATTTCTATTGTACCTTTTCAGAATGAGCTTCCTGAACCTGAACAAGACAATGGTGGCACCACAGAATCTGTCAAAGAACAAGAAATGAAGTGGACAGACTTAGCCTTACAGTACCTCCATGAGAATGTTCCCCCCATTGGAAACTGACACTTGGCTCCTTTCTTGTATATGGATTTTCTAAAAGCACACAGATAGAGCATGTTTTGTTTCAGTTTCCTAAATCAAATCTTTGAGTAATAAATCAGCACTCAAAAATGTATACCCATTTAGTTTGTGGTAGCAAAGTGCGTTGTGAAAATGTTCACCAGAATGAGAAACTGAGATTTCTCAGTAATGGTGAATATTTGGCTCTTTAAACCTAAAACTCTTCATTGAGTAGCTTGTATTTGAACAAGACTGATTAAACATTTGCCTTTACCTCTGATTTTGCTTTACTGTCAAAGTTTAACACCTTCCGACTACTTATGTGTGTCCTGTAACACAGGGGATTGAACGTGTGAGAGGAAAAGGCAAAGGAAAAAGGAAGCCAGACACTGGGAGAGTTACTAACTTCTCATACTTCCCCACATTGAGAAGTGTTCAGAGTGTATTTAGCCTGTAGATGTTGTGATATGCAAATATCCCATTCCCTGGTTACTGGCATTCCTAAGATTCTTCATGGTATTTTCAAACTTTGGATAAATTTACAGATTAGAAAGATATCTGACAGTTACCTCTGTTCTCCCTACAACTTCTTTTTGTGCTGCTAGAAAGGATCTTTGGCTAGGTGGACCACTAGTTTTATTCAGTAGTGACATTTCTTGTTTTCTCAAAGTCCTTTCAGTTATAACCACCCCACTATGGAATCAGTATTTAGTTACACATTTGTATAAGAACCTGTATTTTGAAAAACACATTTGTGTATATTTCCTGGAATTATTTGCCTGTTAAGCAGTGTCTTTCGTGTGCTCTCCCCAGATGGTAAACGCTGTAAGAAGCAGCCCTGGCTGCCTGTATCTGTATCCCTTGTTGAAACTCTGAAAACACTGAATAACTAAAATCTCTTCTCATCCTTTTTATGCTGAGTCTTTTTATTTACTTAGCTTTTAGGAGGAAGAGGTACATGAAAAAACAAATTAGCTTATTTTAGGTTTTCAATCACAAACATAATTGTAATTTTCAATCACAAACATAATCCAAACATCCAGGCTGATTTCTTCTCTTTGCATCAGTAGTTCTACCTCGAAATCATTGATCTTCAGAATAAAGACCCCAGTCCCTTCAATAAGCAAAGAAAGACAACCTAATAGAAAAGAGAATTACAATATTTCAAAAAAATTATACAAGAGAAAAAGCTTTTCAAAAAATTAAAGTACCTAAAATGTCACAGTTCTTTCACATTCTTGTTAAATGAGGATTTTACAGCTTTCTTGTGGTATGTAATCTCTGAGACACTAACATCTAAGAACTTGACAGATGTTCATGTGAATCCTGCCTAGCCTTTCCCTGGAATATTAGTAGTCCAGTAAAATATGAAAGCTATTCTTGATTTCTGCTGAACCAGAATATGATGTCTGGAATACAGCTGTTGGTTTGTGTCTATGACACTCATCTGAGAACTGCCCCCACCCCCAGGAATAGCCTCTGGGCAAGTTCATAAACTCATTGTATCAGGAATTAGGTGACCTAATCTGGGCTAGTCAGATTTTTGTCAACCAGGGCTTCAAAATCTTTATCTAGGACTGGCTTGAGGATGATGGGCACAAGAAATGCTAAGTTGCTCTTACAGGGTAGCTTTCTTCAGTTGTCTCTACCAAAACCCCCAAAAAGGGAAGTATCTGGAGAGGGAGGCCGAGAGGCTGTGTGGACTATTGGTTCCTGCCAGCTTTCCAGTTTAGAGTCTGCATATTGCTTTTCTCTATGGGAGGCACCATGCCTGGCACTGGGAATATAGCAGTGAATTAAGTATGGCCTCTCCCTTCATGGAGCCTTTAGTTGGGGAGACAGGCATTAAATCATTAGCCATACAAATACATAATTTCAATTTGGGGCATATGCTAGGAAGGAAAAATAAAAGGTGACTTAGGTTGGGTTCCCAGAAACCAAGCCTGAGGCAGAGATTTCTTGTGCAAATGATTTATTGAGGTGCTTTCAGAAGAGTCCTGTGAGGTAAACAGGATAGGGCAGGGAAAGAAGCTGAGCCAAGATGTGGTTTGAACTGAAGTGTAGCTTCAGTCTGATTCGATGGGATTTCTGGACCATGATGACGCCAAGAGTTTTCTCACCTTGAGGCAAGGGGTTAGGCCCTTGTACTGAGTATGAATTGGTCAGTCATTGGCTTGACCCCTCCCACAATCCCCCAGTGACAGCGTAACCTCCCAGGCATTGCCAGGCGACACGCCTCTCCAGAGTATACTACAGCTGTGAGCCTTTGACGGCCAATATACAGTAGCTGGGGGAATGGGTACCGACAGTGCTACTGCAGTATAGGAGAATGTGACTGGAGGGGATCTGATTTATATTGAATAATCCAGGGGAGACCTTGTGATTAGCAGCTGTTTTAGCACATAATTTGAAATACTAATTTTGTCTCTGATTTTTTTTTCCACTCTCCAAGGAAGTAACCAGGTCCTGTGTGCTTCCTGTTGCACAGCAGGAAGCAGACATGCTTAACAGTAACCCTAGCACTTGTTTGGGAAGCAGGGGAGGGTAGGAGAGAAGAGGGTCTGCAGACAGGAGCCTCTAAGGAGGAGTGGAAAGCTGTGTGCCACTCGGTACCACAGTGAGATGGTGAACTTCAGAGTTTCATGGTTTGTTGGGTGCTCCAGAGGAAACCTGCACCTCAACACTGAGTCTTCCAGACGAGGCCAAAACCTCCAAGCTTGGAGACCCCTCCTACAAGGGCCCCCTCAGACTTGGCAGTGAAGATAATAGCAATGATCCAGATAGACTGAAGAGTAGAGGTCTTTACCCATTTTTCTAGGTCATTCATGAGTGTCCTAAATGCTTGCAAGACCCTAAGAAGGGGAAGGGACACCCCAGTGACCACAGAATTGATTTCTGTTTGCAGTGCAGCACAGTGAGGCCAAATGGACTTAATCTGCTCTGAAGAAAAGAAAGTGCTATCTCTTGTACCCTCCCTGAGCCTGTGAGCCAACACCTGAAGGATGAGTAGTAGTAATAAGGGAAAGAATTGGGAGATGAGGATTGCTTACAGAGATAGCTAACTGCATAAAGCCAGGAGGTAGAACTGGCATTATAAGCAAGGTGGGTAGGCAGATGTCTGGTTAAAAAAAGTTTTTCTAAGTCATTGAAAGGTTCTAACTAGAGAGAGTGGCCTGATCAGATTGGATTTAAATATATATATGTGTGTGTGTGTGTATGTGTATATATCCCTTTGGAGGTAAGAATAGAAGTAGAAAGACAAATTAGAAGAGCTTTGCATTGGCTCAAGTGAGAGATGATGGTAGTTTGGATTGGCAAGACAGGTAGAAGTAGAAGGACTTGAAATGTTTGTTCGAGGTGGAATTGTCCAGACTTGCACAGTGTGAGCACTACCCTCATGACCCAGGGGTTAGATCTCTGAGCTAGACACAGGACTAAAGGTACAGGCCCTATTCTCTGGAAACAGGGTCTGAGTCCAGGGGCTACCCATCCTTTGAAGCCCAACTTAGACTCACATGGTAATAGTATCGTAACAATGACACGATGGTTAATCAAGCACTTCTATGCACTTTAAACACATGAGTTCCAGCCCTGACATTCACGTTTTAAATGGATAGCATTGTCCTCGTTGATCAGGAGATGGTGACTTAAATGACTTGTTCCAAGTTAACGTTAGAAGACTTATTCCAGGCTGGACGTGGTGACTCACGCCTCTAATCCCAACACTTTGGGAGGCTGAGGTGGGCAGATCACCTGAGGTCAGGAGTTTGAGACCAGCCTTGCCAACATGATGAAACCCCGTCTCTACTAAAGGTATATTAAAAACAAAAACAAAAAACTGGCTGGGCATGGTGGTGGGCACCCGTAATCCCAGTTACTTGGGACGCTGAGGCAGGAGATTTGCTTGAACCCAGGAAACAGAGGTTGCAGTGAGCTGACACAGTGCCACTGCACTCCAGCCTGGGCGACAGAGTGAGACTCCGTCTGAAAAAAAAAAAAAAGACTTATTCCAAGTCATTCAAATAGTAAATGGATTCCAACCTAGGATGTCTGATCCCAAAACCCATGTCCTCTCCCTGGACCTGTTACGTTTCCTGTAAAACTTTCTGCAACATGGGAGGAAAATCCTACCAGAATACTTAGAACTTTAAAGTATGTACCTTGTTTCTAAAATTGAGACAAAGAGCTAGAAGCATTTTTAATAGGAGCATGGGAGTCATGAAACATTTAAAGGTTCAACCTTTTATCAAACTCATATATAATGTTGTCACCATGAGTCCTGTTGTCACCGGATTTTATACGAGATTAAAGCTCTGTAGTTTTCAGATTTTGGTGCATTTTGAGAGGATGGTTTAATGTCAATGCTACAATACCCAGCAGGGGGCGCTCAATTCCTTTTAGAAAGTTTGAATCACTGGCTGATTGTTAGCTCTGAACGCTGAAGATTCTCAACATGTGATCTTTTGCTTGAAAGTGATTCTGCATACCTGGGCTGCCCAAAGTGCTAGGTAGCAGTTTATGTGAGGAAAACACAGCCTCCCTGGGATTCTGGCCAGCCAGGCTTGAACTGAACAGCTCACCTAGTGGGCTCCTCACTCATGCTTTGTCAGTGGCAAAGTGAGAGCACCCAAAAGGTGAGGGCAGTTCAGAACTTTTGGTTAAAGAAAAAGAGGTCTGGAGCCAGGAATTTTGCTCACCTGTGTCGCCAGCTTATGTCAGGCCTGGGGCTCTTTCATTAAGCTATTTCCCAGATCTTTGCATGAAATCGTTTGAATAATTTAGGCATCATCCAGGAATAATCTACATTAGGCTCTAGAAAGACTGTTTTTCTTTTAAAAAAAAAACAAAAACTCTTAGGTTCAGGAGTTCATGTGCAGGTTTGTTAATAGAGGGACACTGTTGTCACAGGAGTTTGGTGTACAGATCATTTCATCACTCAGGTACTAAGCCTAGTACCCAATAGTTATTTCTCCTGATCCCCTCCCTCTGTCACCCTCCTCCCTGAAGTAGGCCCCAGTGTCTGCTTTTCCCCTCTTTGTGCCTATTGGCTCTCATTATTTAGCCCCCACTTATGAAAACATGCAGTGTTTGGCTTTCTGTTTCTGCGTTAGTTTGCTAAGGATAATGGCCTTCAGCTCCATCCACATTCCTGCAAAGGACCTGATCTCCTTTTTAATGGTTACATAGCGTTCCATGGTGATTGTGTACCACATTTTCTTTATTCAGTCTGCTGTTGGTGGGCATTTAGGTTGATTCCATGAAAAGACTGTTTTTCAAAGCTTCCTTTCTTGATTTGTTCCTGCTTTACCCACAATTAAATTTGTTCCCCAGTTTCTCACTCTCACTGTGCCATACCCCATCAGTGAGCTCTCAAGAAAACAGTGGGTAGTGGCAGGCCTGAAAAGGCAGCTGGGTGGTCTCCTAAAGGGACTTCATATCTTGTGGCCTTCCTGGCCCAGATGATGGATGGTCCTGGCTTCTACACCGAACCAGCCTGGACCAGCTGCTCAGGCATGCAAGCAAGGCAGTCGCCCTGGGCCTGCACTCAAAAAGGCATTCCTTCATTAGTTCTGCTCATTACTGTAAGGATTTCCACCTAGATTTTTATTTTAGTTTACCAACTGGGCTGAACCATATGAAAAAGCTGTTTTTATAAATCAAAAATAGTCAGATAATTGCAATTTCCTATGTTTTCAGCTAGTATTATTACCAAGAGCCAATTGTGTGTGTATACAAACACACAGCACACACAAACCGGATTTGATGGGGAAGGGGGGACAGGCAAAGGGTGGAGTATTTGAAAACAACCAAATGACTCCAAAGGAAGTAGGGGAGAGGCTGACGTACAGACCCATCCCAGTTATTCCACGCCTTCCCTGTGACTCAGATCCCCTTTATCATGCTGCCACCAC